AATTGTGAGAGACTGAGGGCTTCATCTTCATCAGTGGGAGACTACTGTAACTGGGGTTTGCAAGCACTTGTCTCCCTCGAACAACTTACAATTGGTGGCAGGGGAAGTGATGAAATCTTGGAGACGTTGCTCAAGCAACAGCTGCTCCCTACCACTCTTCACACTCTCTGCATCTACCAACTTTCAACTCTGAAATCTTTGGATGGAAAGGGACTTGCACACCTTACCTTTCTTCGAAGTCTATCTATTACTAGGTGTAACCGCCTGGAATTCCTTCCAGGAGAGGCACTTCAACACCTCACTTCTCTTCAACTACTATTTATTAGTGAGTGTGACAGTATCCAATTCCTGCCAGAGGAGGGTTTGCCACCATCTCTTTCTTATCTGAGCATCTCCAATTGTTCTGCCCTGGAGAAAAGGTATCAGAATAAGACGGGACGAGATCATTGGGCCAGCATATCTCACGTTCCTAGCATCCAGATAAATGATGAAGTCATCATCATATGATATGAGTTCTCTCTCTCTCTCTCTCGCATAGAGACAAACAAAGTATTCTATTGCTTTTCGATATTTCACTCTCAACTTTCAAATCAAACTCAAGTCAGGTATCGACTTCAAATAACCGCTTTAACTGCTTTTCTTCTAATTCAATACAAAAACCGAAATTCATTGTCCAAATAAACCGAAATACACATTTTAAACTATTTTTATGTCCACAAATTTGTTGAATTGCCCCAAATGCTGAATAATTAATACTCTTTTTGCAGGACAGCACCTTCTCTTGGAAAGCTTTTCATTTGCAAGGTTTCTTTACATGTCATTTCCAGGGTAGGGTTTACCCTTGTATATAGACTTTTGTTATTCTACAAAAACAATTGTCACAACAAGGGGAGACGGAAAGGTTCACCTGGAATATGGGGATTGACACATTCCTACAGACAGGCATCAAATGTCCCACATTTTTAGGTACTCTTTCATAATAAAAATGTATTCAATGTCTATGGATAACCTGTGAGCATAAGTTGTAAGATAAAACCGGCAGTATATTATTGTTGTCATCTTTTTGAAGATGTGAGCATGATATTTGGCATTCATATTGTTCCAGTGCCAGAGGGGCGCATTCATTGGGAATTTTAATAGGTTCATGCCATTAATTTATTGTTGGAATTTCCCAGGTACTGCATATATGTTATAAACGCTGTGTCCTTACTAATGTATATTGTCATAGTATCAACCGGTGGTCTTTGGTTGAGGAGAGAGATCATTCAGCAATTACAAAATTTTCTTAGGGAATTAACCTTGTTTAAGTTTGTTTATCATCTCTCTCCTTTTCTTTGTTAAGTCTTATGCCTTATCCTTATCCCCTACATCACACATTATTTTGCGGCAACTGACAATTTTTTGAATGACTCTAATGACTTTAGAGTCAGGGGATGCGAGAATTTGAAGTCATTACCACACCATATGCGCACTGCCCTTAGACGTTTACTGATACCTTGTCTTCCAAATCTTGTGTCATTGGCAGAAGGGGGTTTGCCACCAAAAAGGAACTCGGACAGCTCACTTCTCTTCAAGCACTGCATATTCTCCGATGTGACAGTTTGGAATGCCTGCAAGGAGAGGGACTTCGACACCTCACTTCTCTTCAACTGATATATATATTTATGGCTGTTTGAGTCTCCAATTCCTGCCAGAAGACTCTTTCTTTTCTGAGCATCTCCAATTGTTTGCCCTGGAGTAAAGGTATGAAAGTAAGACGGGAGAAGATTGGGCCAAGATATCTCACATTCCTTGCCTCCGGATAAATGATGAAGTCATCATATGATATGAGCTCTCTCTCACACCGCGTTTTTGCTATTTGGCATTTCACTCTCAGGTCTGAGTCAGGTATGTAACATCACCTCTGTCCCCTCATATTTCATTCTTTCACTCTCACATTTGTATTTTGTTTTTGTTTTTACCATTGTCATATTTGTACAAGAACTGGGAGACTTAGAGGATTTATCAGAGAGAGAGGGGCACAGAGAGAGAGATCATATTTGATGATTGATGATCTTAATGTCAATCAATGAGGAATTATACAGAAGATCTTGTGTTTCCCCATATGTCATTCTTTCACTCCCACATTTGTATTTTGTTTTTGTTTTTGTTTTTACTATTGTCATATTTGTACAAGAACTGGGAGACAGAGAGGATTTATCACAGAGAGAGATCATATTTGATGATTGATGATCTTAATGTACATCAATGAGGAATTATACAGAAGGTCTTGTGTTTCCTTTTCACATTTGATACTGAATGTACATCTTTCAGCCCCCTTTCACTCTAAGCCTTTATGTAGCTTGCATATCAATTAGGTCTCTTGTCACTGTTCCTTGTTTATCTTGTATAATAATTGGATTACCATTAGTTAGAGGTAATTTCATTTTGCGAAGCTCCAATAATTCAATTTAATTGAAGCCATCAGAATTAATGTGCTCATTTTCTGAGATCAATCTATCAGATAATTTTTAATTTCATCTATGCATTTAGGAGTATCTTGTTGAGCTGAGGTATCCATGGGAGGGTGGGAAAGCACTCGAGTTAACATCCATATTGAATAGCTATTAGAAGAAGTAGACTTGACCTTACCGTTAGCAGTTGGAATAATAGTTTCCTTTTAGTACTTTTATGCAAGAGTTTGGCCTACTGTTCTTTGAATTCTGTCTTGTTTTATGGGCATTTATCAATGTTGGGGGCCTCTAAACCCTGCTGCTGTTTGTTGATATAGACTTTGAGAGTTGAAGGGTAAATTGTTTAAGTGCAAGTTCTGAAATTGCGATATAGAGTGGTCTTAAACTCTGCATGGCCTTTCAGTAATACTTTTGAGCACCTTAGCTAATAAAATCCATATCGTGTATTAGGTCTAACGTGAAGGAAGCTCCAACAATCTCTTGTCTGTGGAGGAATTCAGATTCTATCTCAGCAAATTTTTGTGTGGATTCTATCAACTGATTGAACATCTTTGTTCACTTGGAAGACAACTTAAATTGGAGCTTGAACCTTCTTTGTAATATTCTTTGTACTTCAAGTTGTTTGGCATGGGCAGTTATCTGTGTTTTCCTGGACTTTGTACTGGCCATAATTTAACAGGAACCATGTAAATGCATATCCATTTGTGATTCCACAAGTCAGAACTGTTCCTATACATCCAGTTACTCCTTGCTTCAAATGGCAGAGTTATAGGGTGCAAGTAGTGAATTCTTTACCATTTCAAATGGACTTCTGTTGTAGTCTTTATCTTCTGGTGTAGCCCTGTTGTTAATGTGTTACCTACAAATTGAATGGTGTCCTTGTCTGCAATCCCTGCCAGGACAAGGACTGATAAATACCTCACTTCTCTTTCAAACAGAGTAATTCGTTGGTGTCTGAGGCTCAGATTCGTGGCAGACGATAGTTCTCCGAGGTCTCTTTCTCTTCTGAGAATCAGGTTGTTATTCCTTGAAGAAAAGGTGTCAATAAGACCGGATAATATGGGCCAACACATTCCTTACATACAGATAAGTGAGGAGGTGATCATAGTTGTTCTGTCAGAAGCTGGAAAGAGTACAACATTTTTAGGTACTCTTTCCTAATAAGAATGTATTTGAGTCTCATTTGAGCTAGTTTAAATTGTATGATCAATGCCTATGGATAACCTGTGAGCTTAAGTTGTAAGATAAAACTAACACTATATTATTGTTATTCTCTTCTTGAAGATTTGAGCATGATATTTATCATTCATATTGTTGCAGTGCACATTTGTTGCCATTAATTAATCTTTGGACTTTCCCAGGGACTGCATGTGTGTTAGCTACACCTTGTCTTCTGTCGCTGTGCCCTCGTATGTTTCTAACTTATCTTTTTTTCTTTCGAACCAAAATCAATTAGAATCAGTTAACCTGTTTTTCTAGCCTGGTTCTTGATTTCCGGGAGCAAAGCTCGGGTCGAGACAGGGATGTTTAATGGTGAAATGGATGTTATTTCTTGTTCAAGCCCGTTTGATCATTGTTCTGAAAGCTGCCCTGAGAAAGTGATTGAGAGGCATTACTTGCTGGTTGAAAGAAACCCAAATGAGCGAAATTTATTGTCTGCAAATGTAAGAGTATTAAAAGGAGATGACATGAGCAAGCAATTATCTTTCCTTAGATTGATTGATCTGGTACTGAAAAGCAGTCATACTTTCTTTTCAAAAATGACATCAATTGGAACGTTATAATTGAGAGCAATGCATTCCGACCACAAACATTGAGAGCAAAGTATCAGATTCATTTGTGGTAAATTTACATGAATTTTTGTCAAAACTGAAAGCCACTCTGTGTACGTGAATTTGTGTCAAAACTGACAGCCAAACAAATTTTTGAATTTTTTTTGTTTTTCGGACAAACATTTGAAAGATCATAGAAACTACACTCCTAAAATTTGACATTGTCGGGGAAATGCATCATTTAACCGCAGCAGAAGTCCAGTTTCTGCTAAGCAATCAACAATCACCATAATTGCAGATTGGGTGGGGGGTTTAGGGGAAAGATATACTGGAAGGATTAATTGAACAAATATTGTATTGAGTTCTACTTCATGCTTAAGACATTCTGATCCCGACACCTGCTCTCCAGTCTCCACAAATAGAGTTCGTAAATATTTTTACTATGTATGACAGACATACAAACATGCTCTAGTACAACTGATAGTGTTTTTTTTTCCTTTCTAATTTATATAAAACTGGCACTAGCAAAGATTGCCATCTGAACACTCAAAATCCAGCTCCAGTGGCTTTGATCCCTCCTTTGTTGCATCATGTCATGCTTTCTGTGCAGCAAATACATTATTAGCATGTGAGTGAGTGGACATGAAACGAGAAGGTACAGAAGCATAATTGTTTTCGTTAAGCGATTGGATCTATCTTTACCTGCATTGGAAGGTACAACTTAAACTCAGGCGGAAGTTCCTCTTCGGAGTACAAGCGGTCAGAGAAATATATCCTCCTCAGGCGGCAATTCGCATGAACCTGAACTCGCAATGTCTCCACATAGTTTGTTCCATAGGCTCTCCTGGTAAAATCGGATAGATTAAACTGGATTTGATTCCAGCCCTCATCCATCCTCAGTGGCATGGTGCAGATGTATGGCTTCACTCGAGTTACAGCCTACAACACATAAATAAATAAATAAACCCTTGTATCTTTTATCACTTTGATACTTCTACAGTAGTACGATCACTTCAAATACCAGTATTCTTTAGCAGTCAAAACATCAACACTTCAAACATAAATAAAAGATGATAGTAATTAAAGTTCAGTAAAGGTTAGCTGATTTCACAAAACTCCTATGAGTCCAATTTATCTGCCATTTGCAGAAGACACCATGTTCCCTGATAAAACCCAGAAGACAGTAACAATATACTAATCTATGAATCATTAAGCAACAATCTACTTGAGTGGTCAATAAGTTTTGCATCCTGCACTGCTCGACTCAAAATAGTAGGCAATCTGAGGTCAACATCAATGAATTTTTTTTCTCCTGATTCATGAAGCTGCCAATGGCATATCTAGAAGCCAGATTCCTCTACAACCTTGGACTTAACCTTGGTACATGATTTTCACCTCAAGTATATACATCTCCAACAAATCCAACACATCAGGCATAGTTAATATGTTCATAATGCAGCTGGAGAAACTTACAAATAAGTCAGCATGAAATATGACCAATTTTACACTACATAGATCTTCGAAGACAACAAAAGAAGCTTAGACTTGCTAGTGAAATAAATACATCTTTGAGAAAAACATATGCAGCAGCCTTCCTTACTTACCTGAACATTCCCTGAAATCCCAACGGAAAGGAAAAGAAAAGAGAACAAGAAAAAGAACCATTATGCAATTGATAAAAATCAATAAACATGGGCAAACTTACACACTTGAAAATTGGAAGCTCGAAAACGTCTCCTGACATTCTTGTCATCCAGAACTTGAATCTCAAATGTGAAATACTTCTTCAGATTCTTTACAATCATAACCAGGAATGGAAGTTTTATACCAAGTGTAGCTGATGGATCTGCTGGGCAAGTAATATATGTGGACTGGATGTTCGTACCAATTATTTCAAGGACATTGGATTGTATGTCTTCATCCTGTGGCCTTTTAATATGGCCATCGACAACTGCTCAACAAAAGAGAAACATAGAAAAGTCACTAAGTCATTCCATCATCATGTCAACATCTTAAAGGCATCCACCATATACTCTGGTCTGAAGTAGAAAAATAGTTATTTCCACTCAAGCATCAGGCAATGCCCCACCCAATATAAACATCAAATCTACAAACGTTCCAACATGCACGTGCCTCATTATTTACTATGTCATGAACAGACTTAAGAGGCCCTAAAATTTAATGGTAAATTGCAGTGCAAAGGGATCCATCCATTAGAGATTACCAAGTCTTGTAGCTAATGCGCCTATCAGCAGATTAGATGCTCATCAGTCACCAATCTTAACAAAAAGACATGGTGGGTCAACACGGATGTTGTATGACAGGCATGAAACAAAGAGGGATGAATTGCAAAGAATAAGACAGTATTGAACCATGACTGGGCACCTCCATGTATTAAACTATAAAAAAGCATACAACCAATTTCGTCCTTGTGCTACCACTTCAAACTATTTAGATTTGTTGAAGGTACATGCACTTCTTTAATTCAGAAGACATTTGGGAGAAAATATGTAAAAGGAATAAACAACACTGAATAGTCAGAACTGCATCTTACATTGATATTTGAAACAAGTTGAATTTAACAAGCATCTCAAAATTTCATCAACAGGTTTTACATTTCCAAAGCCAAAACCACTCACCTTCTTTATCCCAAATCTGCAATGGTTTGCTCCTACATATTCAAAAGAATGCACAGCTTAACATCAAAGTTACAAGTGCAAGGATAAAAAAAAAGATACTCAAACACAAGAGACAAAGACGGCATACCCAAGGCTGTATAGAATTGACAGAAATCCGGATTGAAATGTGTTCTTGAACATTTTTACTTCCTTCTAAATCGAGCTGCAATGAAAGCACAACAATTGTAAGCTATAACTGGACTTAACATTTCCTTTCCTTCTGGTTTTTCGTTCCATTGGAATTGGAAGCCCATTAATATATAACAAAAGTACATAATCTACAAACAAAAAGAACAAAAAAACTTAGCGTTTTAAATTCAAGTATTCTATCAATGGCTGAATATAAATCCCAGTTATCCTTGAAACTAGCAGATGTGTAGTGTAACCCTGGATTATATCATCACGAATTATTGAAGGGGAAACTATAGTAACAAGCATAGATTTTGAATATCACGTTTGGCTGAGACATGGAATTTGATCAAATTCCAAATGTCTGTACTTTTAGCTGACAGACAGACAGACACAAATATACTTACCCAGGAAAGAGTCGTTTCAACCACAACCCCAATTGCAGGCCTTAAGCTTCCCAAAGCCGTAACCTGATAGACCAATTGCGATTCCCCTCTCTCTCTCTCTCTCTCTCTCTCTCTCTCTCTCTCTCTCACTCTCTCTCTCTCTCTCTCTCTCTCTCTCTCTCTATATTGTCTTGCGTATTTTGTGCATAGCCAAGTTAGTTTATTTTTCATTAGCAAAAAGTCGTTTTTGGTCCCTATAGTTTGCCATTTTTACCACTTTGATTCCTGTCATTTTAATTTGATCAATTTTGTCCCTCTAGTTTTCAATTTAAGCAATTCGAAGACAAATTACAATTTCTGTCAAAATAGAGTAACTGCAGTTAGTTGTTGAGGGGCATTTTAGTCAAAAATTATAATTTCTCTATTGTTTAAATTAATTGAAAAAATTAAAATCAAATAATAAATAACCAAAAGCAAACAAACCCAGATCACCTACCTCCCAAGCCCCTCCTCATCCCAGCCACCACACCGTACCTCCCAACCTCCTCCACCCCATGCCCAGCCACAAACCCAGCCTCATTGTAACTCTTTGTCTCTCAGCTCCCTAGCATAAACGACGGCGAACACAAACAAAATTGAAACTTGTAAACTGTACGATTCTTACATGGTGGAAAGCGAGGTCGGAGAGGAAGAGAGGGAGAGGGGGTATGCGAAGCCACTTGGGGTTGCTGTGGGGGTGATGGAAGTGTTAAATATTGTAGTAATTCATTATATATAAATGATTATGGTGTGTTTAATATTCTTTCATTAATTAATATATATTTTCTACACTTACAGTGTTTGCCAGCTCGCTATATAATCAACTTAAATCAGTTAAATTCATCATGCAATGCATTTCCTTCCAATTTTTTGTGATAAACTAATAGATAATTGACTAAATAAACATCCTGCAAAGTTTCAATAAAAATTTCCAGGTTTTTCTTACAATTTCCGTGATTTTTATTCAATTTTTATCGATATCGATAATATCCTGATATTTCCATCGACATTTCCGTGTTTTTGGACTACCGATATTTCCGATATCATCGATATTTTAGACCTTGATCATCATCACCATTCATCCTTTCCCTCCTTGTAGGATTTCTACTGTAATCGAACTATTCCTGTAAATTAAATTGATTAGTATTGCTCTGAAATTGTCCTAGGATTTCTGTAAGGCCTGAGGTCATAAAGATTTGTTGTTGGTTGTGTGTGTCCTAACATTATGCATGATGAACGTTTGTGGTTATTTGAATTGCGTTTTGTACAGGTAAAAATTTTTGGGAAACGAGCAACTTACAGGGGAGACTTTGCTGAATTTTTTGCAGAAGTCAAACCTTGAAGGAAATTTTGAGTCGTAGTTAGAAGGGCAATTTAGTCAAGTGTGCCTATTTACCAAACGGGCTGGGCTTTCCAAAAATTTTTAAAAATCACTTATCACCCAAAATAAGCAATGTCAAACGGGCACTTAAGTAAATGTCTTTGTCCTTTTACTTTTATTTATTTTTATATTACTCCATTTACTTAAGTTTACAATGTAAATAAGGAAGTACCCCCCATTTGGATTCAAATAAAAATACTATAAAATCAAATTCCCACCAAATCAAAATATGAAAAATCGGTTTTAGTGCAAAATACGATTTAGGCTAAAAATGATGGCTCATTAAGTCCATATATACTTCATACTAAAATCCCATAAAATCAAGTTTTCTTATTTGATGTGTAAGGAACAAAAGCCGCCAAAAATTATCTTGAGAAAATGATTATTCCGAAAAATTATTTTTCATACTTAGTCAATATTGCACCTTCGCTAAAAAAAATTTGGGTTCGCCAATGCACGTAGGAACCCAAAAATCTTATCCGAAAATATTGTCCAAATTAATTATTTAGGTAAACAAATTTGTAAAAAAAACAAAAAAATAAATAGTGTTTGCCCTTTGCCATGGCAACTGCTGGAAACCAACATTGCTTTTTGCAAGGGCAGCCACTATTCACATGAATAGTGGCTGCCCTAGGCCCCCCCTTGCCATGGAAAGGGGCAACTGCTGGAACTGCTCTAATACGTCTCTCTCCTAAACCGCTCCACCAAAATTTTATAATGACAAAACTAGCCCTACACAATAAAAGCAATAGACATGCAAGTCCTGTGCATGTGACTGCTAAAAGCCAAGACCAGCAAACCACCGAAAGCAAGACTAAAACCAATATCAGCAAGTAGATATGGTTGAAACGCCTTTTGTCTTTTCTTGCATGTGACTTGTGCATAGAAATTGTAGATTTTGTTTGGGGTTATTCGCAGCAATGGTCCCTCAATTATACCCGTAGTTACAGTTTGGTCACTCAATTTAATTATTAGTTGCAGAGGTCACTCAAGTAGGTGATTTGTTGCACCATTAGTCCTTTCGTCAAGTCTGTGACTTTATCTATTTAAAATGATGACGTGACAATCATATCTTAGATTATTGATGGGCAAATGTGACTTTTCAGTTAGGACTATTTGTAGCAATGATCTCTCAACTATACTCGGAGTTACTTTGGTCATTCAATTAAGTGTTGTGTTACACTGTTAGTTCCTATCGTTAGAGAGACTTGATGGTAGGGACTAACGGTGCAACACAACACCCAATTGAGTGACATCTGCAACTAATAATTGAATTGAGTGACCAAACTGTAATTACGGGTATAGTTGAGAGACCATTGCTACGAATAACCCATTTTGTTTGCTTATGTGAAGTGTGTACAGTACATGTGAATCTTCGTAGAAATATCAGAAGCTTTTTGTAGTGATATGCAATGTATATCAGAAATATGAAGGAATAGCAGCTGCTAGTGGTATTTAGGAAGAAGCTCTCCGAAGTGAGAAACATAACATAGAAGAAAATCTCGGTGCTCTCCTTCAGTTATCAATAAAATTTTCCTTTATTTTCCATACTCTCTCCCTCTCAGAACACTGTTAATACTATGTTCATCCATCAATCACTATTACAACATCTCTAATATATCGAGATTTCTAGTTTTATTAGCAGCATCAATACTTAGGTAAGTATTTTTCTCTTTTATTTTTTGTTTTCTTAGCATACTTCTTGTCTAAAACATGGGAAAATCATTATAATTATGTTATTATCTTGCTAAACTGACGATCAATACTTTTTTTGAGCACTTAGTCATGTATGATGTTTGTCATAACAATAACTGGATGTTTGTAAGGGAACTTCTGAGTTCAGAGAACCTCTGAGTTCAGAGAACCTCTGAGTTATACTCCCACAACTCTTTAGGTTGACGTCTTTGCAGTTGTTCACCCGTTTTGATTTAGTCATGTGATGGTAGGGTAAAGTTCCCCATTGGCTTGAGAACCATTTGTGGTCAACAAGTCAACTTTCTTTGATGTGCGAGCGTGCCACTGTTAGCAGTTAAAAACTCTAACAAACTTATGAAAAATAGATAACTTGCACCCCAAGTTACTGACTTTAAATAAGTGATTGTGAATTTGGGTGAGGAATATCTCCCAAGTAAGTTCTTTTCTTGCCTCAGACTGATGTGGACTTCACAATTTCTCACAATAAACTAGTAGTTCTGGCCAAAATGAATATTGAAAATAAATCAAACTGTTTTAAGAAGAACAACCTATTACACAACTTAAAACAAAAGGGAACTGCCATGTCTGAAAGGACAACAGAACATTGGGCTTCGATTTATGCTTGGATTGTTGTTTGTAACTTAGGCTGGTTTGGATGTATCTATGTTGGATTCAAATGTCTGCACCTTCAACTAATGAGGTTCAGTTGGAAATCGATACCAATGTTGAGATTGGCAGAGCTTTAATCTATTTAAGCCATGGAGAGGCTTGTTGGATGGGTAGAATTGAGATCTCTTCAGTCTGGACGAGGCTAGAAGTGGCTGGATTGATGATTGCTAACCTGGAGATGCACTATAGTACATGTTCTGCTTGATTATGAATCATCCAAGAGCTATTCTGGCAATTCTAAGAGATCAAGGCATCTCTGTAAATTTGTTGAGGTTTTCATATTATGAAAAACTCGAGTTCTGCTTGATTTGGCTTATGTTGAACCAAATTTGCAACGAGAAGTCTCGTTTCCTTTGTGAATTGCTCCCCTAAATTGAACTAGAGTCAGAAGTTTGAGTTCTGCCTGTTTTGTTTAGGACCGAGTTCTGCTTGATTTGGCTTATGTTGAACCAAATTTGCAACGAGAGAAGTCTCGTTTCCTTTGTGAATTGCTCCCCTAAATTGAACTAGAGTCAGAAGTTTGAGTTCTGCCTGTTTTGTTTAGGAGTTGGATGAACTTTCAAGCCAAATGGCTTGGTTGCTTCAGAGTTTGAAGGCTTTTGAGATCGAATAATCTTGTTTTGAATTTGTCAGTATAACTTGAGAGTTTTTGTTTTGATTGAATTTTTGGTTGTCCTCAACCCTATTTACCTCCTCTCATATTTATAGAGAATCTGACTGAGGGTGTAATCCTTTAATATCTGGAGGGTAGATCTTTTGAAAGGATTTTCCTTTTCCAACGCAAAAAGGGGGAGTTATTAATCTGGCAAAAAGAACCATCAACAGTCAGTTTCTATGATGTTCCATTTGCTTTTTCTGGCAAACAACTCTCCTGTCTCTTGTTCATTTCTTGAAAACACAACTTGCTCTAGTGCAGAGCCCTTATGAGCATAGAAAGGAAACTTGGCCGCCCTTCTTTTCTGGCATTTTAAATGGTTATGGAGAATGTTCTTCTGGTTAACCTCTTTTTACTAACTCCCCATCACTTCCTCTGCCCAGTTGAATTTTTTTGACTTTCATAGTCACATGGGTTTCTTAAGAGAAAAGATCTTCCCAAAAAATATGTTGACTTGAACTCTGAAATTGAGATCAACGGTGATGATCCAATTTTGCACTCTTTGGAGAGATTAGAAGCTGGGCATAATCCTAAAATCAATTAGAAACTGATTTGTCGGCATCCAATTTTCGACGTCATTTTTCCTTAAGCCAAATATGTGATCGACCCTACATAAGAGAGGTGCATGCTCTCTTATGTTATTCTTCATTTTTGAACTATTTGTTTGTCATTTTCTTTTTGTTTATAATCTGTTGCTTGTATATGAGG